CCATGTACATTGTATGTACAAGCATGAACGTGGCACGAAAGGCAAAAGGAATCGGGCCACATGTTGGTAAACGTGAGGAGCCAAGATATCCCTAAACTAATAGAAAGGACAGGCCTGGAGTTAAATCAACCATTTCGATTTTTAGATAGACCTGTAGATAATCCATGGGCGTTCATTCTCCCGTGAGATCGGTAAAAGCCCATCACCAAGGGCGCGGTCCTTCACTAAGCTTGTGATCGTCATCAGACTTGGCTCGTGGGCTCGGGGGACTTGGACGGACCCGGGGATGAAAAGAATCCGGAAGAATGGCACGCACAAGGCTTCTATTGAAATTCATGAGCTTCGGTCAGCTATTTTACGTCGGATAAAGGGCGAATGCCGGGGAGATTAAAGGTCGCCGGTCCGGGCCACGCTTCCCTCGTCCCCGTGTGTTCACACCACTGAGGTTCAAAAGGACAGCTCAGTGACCTTGGCATGACCTCTGAATCATCGCGGCCGTGAGAGACCGTCGATCGGGTGCGAGCACGATGACGAGCAAGGGGAGATATTCTGCTAGTACCGACGTCTACAGTGAACATCGTTCCGCCTTGCAAAATAATGCACGAAATAACCCTTAGTTGTGATACAAAAATGCATTGTGCTTCTAATGCAACAAATGTAGGTATGTATTATGCGGGTAATTACGAAAGAATTCATTTCGCGTATCGCACTTGCAAGGACGCTATAAATACGTTTGCATCAAACTAGAATTGACCCAGTGTCTGTGGCTAATGTTTACTGCGTCTTGCAGCCCTTGCATGTTATCATATCAATACGGCATTCGCTTTGTCGCTGCTAAATCTCGGCAGTAAACATCATGGAAGCCATATTTATACCTACATCGAAAAGTCCAATCGTATTCTAATTGAACCCAATGTAATGTATGCAGCAGCTGCCCAAACCAGCGTCAAAATTGAGCTTACAATGAATAATTCATAATTGTGTTAATGTACAGCCCTCTGCGCACTGCACGTGGAAGGTATTCCTTTTTCGACAAAACCGATAATAACTCTAGGACATGTTATCAGTCGGTCGGAACTCATTGCACATAGATGCGCCATGCTCCACTCCTTCGATTGGGTCTATCACTGAATAAAGTATACGCCTTGTGTGGCAGCGAAATGCAAAAGTTTTTTGGGGGGCAAATATAAATTTTTGTGTTTTGTTGCCAAACTGGATGAAAAATGTATACCATGATAACCCCAATATAAGGTGTGGAGTCTCGCGCGTCTTGCTGTTACAATTTCCGAGTGCCAGATAGCATAGTATTCGAGTTATTCTCGGCTTTGTCGAAAAAGGAATACCTTACCTACCACGCAGTGTGCAGAGGACTGTGTAGGGGAAGCCGGGGGGAAGCCCGGCATAGTAAGCTCTTTTTCATTTTTATTACATACCATAAGTGCTGTATAAAATGTTGATATCCTGCTAGCTAGCTAAGTTCATTGGCCGTGTTTTCCCAAAAATTCGGTTTCGTGGAATAAGTATAAGGTTGAGAAAATCGAGTTTTAAAAAAGTGTTGATTTTTCTGGGGTAAGCCCGGCATAGGGGTAACGCCGGCCACCCCCCCCCCCCCCAGCGCTTTACAACGAGTTGATGAAACCATTATGTGTTTTCCAAATATTAATGGAAAGTGAAATATTAAGGTACTGATTAGCTCTGGACATCTTAGAGTTTATGTCACTACTGGTATTTAAGCTAGCGTCTACTACATAAACAGTACAGGTCGATGAAAATCGTGATGCAAAATTGACAAAAAAATGTGTATTTCAAAATTCCTTAAAATTTATTTGTCTTTTTACCTTAATGCATCATATTGCATATCATTCGACACGGCTGATGAAGAAGAACACAACGACACCATTTTTGAAGCTCTAGCTTCATTGTCTGTCGCGTTATCTGCAAAAACGTAGTTTGACCCTAGTTGACCTTAAGTGACATGACTGGCTTTGTCTATGATAGCATGTTTATTTTCGAAATTTAGCTTTGATCTAGGTGTAAACCAAACCTGCTCAGTACCTATTATCTCATGGAAAACAGTGGTTTAGTGGCATCGCTCTCGGTTGGGGGTAAGCTTGGCCACTCGCCCGGGGCTACCCCAATGTGCTAATTTTTATTTTAGAACAGCGATATTCGAAAAAACAGCGGCGTATTTAGAAAATCGCGAAGGGGGGGGCCAAGGGTTTGGAGGGCGCCACCTCACCCAAGGAGGGCGCCATACGGTCGCGAGATAAAAAATCGCTCAGTGGGGGTTGGGGGGTTGGGAGGCGTTTTTTACCATGCCACCAGTTTTTTTTTTTTTTTGCGTAACCTCGTATAGGTCGTGCTGCATTGATTTTGCATCGTGTGTATTCTTTATACTCCAGGTCACAAAAGGTCAAGTGTTCTTGAAATGCTGCGCCGAAGGCGCGCGAAATTTTTGAAAACAACCTTTTCCTCCGCTTTTTAGGCACGCCTTTTATACGATCACTGTTCAAAGCTCCTCTCGCTCTTTTACCAAATTTGAAGGTGTAAAAAATACCTAAGGTTTGGTCGGGCCGCTGCCACACAAACTGTACAGAAAGCTTGGCTCATGGGTGTCGATGTATAAAAGTTTATTGGCGGTGGCATATCTACGCACCAGATCACCGTATCGGATTGATACCGGAGCGCGAGATGCGTAAACATCATCCAAATTACCTCAGACCAGCCTTCATAGCCTTCTCACAGATGCATACAAAGTACCCACATAACCAGTTTCAATCACCGAAACTTCAGATGCCTGCTGTTGCGCCCGAACCTGTTGACAATACTTAATCGTAATCCATATAGATGCCATGATGCACGTAAAGTAGGATCAATCCGTTAAGACCAAAGACGTGTTTTATGCATCGTAGAGCGTAGATAGTTTTGGTAGGTATAGATACTTCATTCATTGTGCTGAATGCACGTTCATTTGTGGCAGTTTTCACAGGCAAGACATCAACTATGTGCAATAGAACGACTAAGTTGAAAAACATGCCAAAGGAGTAAATAAATGATAGGAGGGCAGCGATCAACGGATGTTGCCAATAGGTAGAAGGGCTGCGATCCACAGGAGGGCACTAATAGGTAGAAGAGCCCCGATCAACATCCCGAGTTTCGACAGTAGGGCACCGATAGGTAGGAAGTTGGCGAGCAGCAGGAGGGCGCCAATGGATAGAAGGGCAGCGATCAACAGGAGGGCACCAATAGGTAGGAGGGCGCCGATCAACAATCAACAGGAGGGCGCCACCAGGTAAGAGGGTGGCGAGGAACAGGAGAGCACCAATAGGAGGGTGGCGATCAACAAGAGGTCGCCAATAGGTGGGAGGGCGGTCATCAACTGGAAGTCGCCAATGAGCGGAAGGGTGACGATTAAAATGGGGGTGGCAATGGTGAGGAGGGCGCCTTTGCTCAAGAGGATGACACGAACAGGAGGGCGTCTGTGCGGAGGGCGCTGGTCAACAGGAAGGTGCCAGTGGATAGGAGGGCGGTGATCAACAGGAGGGTGCCAGTGGTTAGGAGGGCGGCGATCTACACGAGGGCGCCAATAGGAGAAGGGCCCCGATTAACATTCAACAGGAAGGACTAGGGAACCAATAGGTAGGAGGGCGGCACTGAACAAGAGGGTGCCAAAAGGGAGAAAGGCGGCCTTCAAAATTTCACATGAGGGCTCAATAGGTAGGAGAGCGCCAATAATTATGAGGACGCCGATCAGCAGAAGGGCGGCAATGTGTAGCAGGGTGGCGACCTACAGGAGGGCGCCTTCGGGTGAGAGGGCGCTTATTTACAGGACAGCGGCTTACATAGGCGACCACCGTTACGCTTAGAGAGCTACAGCCTACAAATGTGGTTGGAGGGCGCCCGAGGGAGCCCTCCAACCGTATTTGGAGGGCGTATTTGGAATGGGCGTCCTCCGAGGGCGCCCTCCATCCGTATTTTCCCTGTAAACACATTCGCGATTGGAGGGCGCCCTCCAGTCGCGATTGTTTTTCGATTCGATTATATCACAATTGCATTTGCGATTGGAGGGCGCCTTCGGCGCCCTCCAATCGCAAAGGGCGCCTTCGGCGCCCAAGGGGGGGGGGGGGGGGCATGGCCCAGTGGCCCCGCCCCCTGCCTACGCCCCTGCGAAAAAATGTCATACTTAAGCCAGCCTGCCTTGTCACCCCTCACTACAAACACTTAAACGGTCCTTACATAACATTCGTATAAATATTAGTACTGTATGGTATAACATTAACAGTGCAACATATCTCACTTTTCAGCTAAAAACCCTCAAAATATCATTTTTGCGCTATAACTTTAACAATATGCAATTTTTGTCAGCCTTAACTTTTTTGCTGGCGTCACCTTAGCTGCCACGCTGTAAGGACAAACAGTTGAGCATTTTATTGTGAATAATTTAGCCGGAAACGGGGTGGCCGGGCTTCCCCCGCGCCCGGGCTTCCCCCGGCTTCCCCTACCTACATACCCTATGTACCTAAACAAATATTTTATTGACAACGTCACTGACAATATTCAATTTTATACGGCGTACAGGATAATCTTGTCCAATCCCCATGCTTGAATGCTAGAAAAGCACGCCAGTTATGAATATTTAGCTATACTACACATAGGTGGTTCTGATTATCTTACTGTTTCGATTCTAGGACTCACGCGGTTACTAAATATCAAATGACATTCTTTGAAATATATTTAGCAATTTATCATAAATAACTACACCAATGATGGCTTATAAGCCAGTGGCTAAAAGTAGAAAATACATATGACGATCACAATACCTATTGGCGCGGTCGGATATTTATCCAATGAAGCGTTCATCGCAACTCACAATTACGAGTACAACAATATAGCTACTCACATTAGCTAGTGAGCCGATCACCGAAGTCCGGCGGTGCTCGCTCAATATATGTACTCACTGAGCTCACTGAGCCGCTTACTGAGCTCACTAAGCTGCTCACCTGCAGATGGGCGCGTCCGTCGGCCACCCAGGCCAGGACGATGTCCGCTCCGGTCATACCACCGGCCGGTGAGAAGCCGACGGCCGCCCAGCCCCTGTCGACACACGGATGCGGTATCAGATCTATAAACAGCTTGGTTGCCCTCTGGTTATTTCTAGTGGTTTTGATTTGAGGAAAATGATTCAGTTTCTGGACTTGTTTTATCAGTTTTTGTTGAAAAAGAATGCGAGGACGGCTTCGCTTTTAATTTATGGAATAGCATAACGTTTAACTTTATATGTAGCGAAAGTGACTTTTCAGGTACGAAGTGGGTGGATACATTAAACGGCCCAATCAATCCGGATAAACTTTGCTTGGCCTTAAATGTTAAGCAAAGACGAATCAGACATCGATCGAGGATCTATTGTGTAAAAAACAAGCAACTTTAATTCCGACAGGACGGTTTATTTAACGATCAAAATTCTCAAAAAGATTATGCTTTTGCATCATTTTATATCACACGAATTGCGCGGGAAATTTAACCTCAACTGAATTATGTATACCATATGTATACCTATGTATATTTGAAATTTGAACGACGGATTCTATCTAGCGAGATCTTTTAAGCCTAGGACATCAAAGAAGCTGGTCTGGAATTAGCATAAAGATCGAGCACGACCATCTCCAAGAAGAGAAGAACGTTAAAACATGACGCCTGCAGTGGCGGTCGCAGGGGGGGGCCATCAGGGCCATGGCCCCCCCCCAAAGGCAAATCAGGGGGGGCCATCATATCATTTGGCCCCCCCAAACAACCGATGGGCCCCCATGGCCGTAAGGGGCCCTGGCCCGTATTCGATTGTCACGAGGCTCGAGAAACCCACGCCAGCCATGAACAGCTCCCATACCAGTCTTTGAGGGTCCTACACTGACCTCTGAGGGCCCTTCAGTGGCGGTCAAGCGTCCACATTGACCGCTGAGGACCCACATTGACCTCTGAGGGCCCTCCACTTGCCTTTGAGGGCCCCTAAACCGGCCTCAGGGGCCCAACCGGCCTCTGGTGGTCTCATTTCTGTCTCTCGAGGCCCAAGACTAACCTTTAAGTGTCTCTGAGGGCCCCGCACTGGATTCTGAAGACCCGATGTCGGCCTCTGAGAGCCCGCATAGGCCTCTGGGGCCCATCTTGGCCGTTGAGGGCCCTCCGCTGGTCTCTGGGGTCCAACGCCGGCCCATGCCGGCCTTTTAGGGCCCCACACTGACCTCTAAGGGCCCCATGCTGGTCTGTAAGTACCCACATTAGCCTCTAAGGGCCCCCCCGCACTGGATTCTGAAGACCCAATGCCGGCCGGTCAGGGCCCGCATCGGCGTCTGAGGGCCCATCTTGGCCTTTGAGGGCCCTCCGCTGGCCTCTGGGGTCCAACGCCGGCCCATACCGGTCTTTTAGGGCCCCACATTGACCTGAGGCCCCCATGCTGGCCTGTAAGGACACACATTAGCCTCTATGGGCCCCGCACTGGATTCTGAAGACCCGATGCCGGCCTCTAAGGGTTCGCATCGGACTCTGAGGGCCCATCTTGGCCTTTGAGGGCCCTCTGCTGGCCTCTGGGGTCCAACGCCGGCCAATGCCAGTCTTTTAGGGTCCCATTCTGACCTTTGAGGGCCCCATGCTGGCCTGTAAAGGCCCACATTAGCCTCTGAGGGCCCCCCGCACTGGAATCTGAAGACCCGATGCCGGCCTCTAAGGGTCAGCATCGGCTTCTGAGGGCCCATATTGGCCTTTGAGGGCCTTCTGTTGGCCTCTGGAGTCCAACGCCGGCCCATGCCGATCTTTTAGGGCCCCACACTGACTTCTGAGGGCCCGTACTGTCCTGTAAGGACCCACCTTAGCCTCTGAGGGCCCCGCACGAGCTTCTGAAGACCTGATGCCGGCCTCTAAGGGCCCGCATCGGCCTCTGAGGGCCCATCTTGGCCTTCGAGGGCCCTCTACTGGCCTCTGGGGTCCAACGCCGGCCCATGTCGGTCTTTTATGGCCCACGCTAACCTCTGAGGGCTCCATGCTGGCCTGTAAAGACCCACATTAGATTAGCCTCTGAGTGCCCAATTCGGTCTCTGATGGTCTCAAACTGCCCTTTGGAGGCCCTGTACTGGTCTCTAAGGGCCTAACTGGCCCCTAAGAGCCCAAACCAGCCTCTAAAGGTCCCACACCGGCCTCTGATGGTCCCATTTCTGTCTCTGGGACCCAAACTGACCCTTATGTGCCTCTGAGGGCCCCGTACTGGCTTCTGAAGGATTGATGCCGGTTTCTGAGGACCCGTAACGGTCTTTAAGTGCCTCATACCGACACCTGAGGCCCCACACTAGCCTCTGAGGGGGCCCAAAACTGGCCTATGAGGTCTCTACACCGGCCACTGATGGCCCTATTATGTTCTCTGGGGGCTCAAGCCTTACCTTTGGACGTCACGCACTTGCCTCTGAAGGCCCACATCAGCCTCTGGGGCCCTACCTGGGGCCTTTGAGGCCCTTCGCTGACCCTTGGATCCAACGCCGGCCTCTGGGGGTCTGACACCGTACTATAAGGGCCCCATTGCAGCCTCTAGGCGATAGGTATCGCTGAAGCGCTATCGATGGGCCGAAGTAAGTGTAGGAACCATGGGTGCAGTGGGCGCAGTTGCACCAACAATAATTCTGCATAGGGTGCAGACAATGTATTCTGCATCCACAACAATCTGGAACAAACCCCCTTTTCTCAGCAACACTACTTTCCATGCAGCACGACAAATTTAGGATATTTTGCCCACTATCCATCTTTCGAAGCATTTGCTACTGTAATGGTCTTCAAAACTTACATTTGTGCTCAAGTACCTAAGAAACAAAAATGAAACGGAACACGTGTGATTGAACAGTGAACAGATACCGATGACCCACTGTCAAAAGTTTTAGCACGATGATCTCAGAAAATGGCAAAGTTAGCCGTCTTTACTTTTTCGGTAGTCCATTCACATTTGCGTGAGTTATTGGCATTATCAATGCTTTAAAATGCACTTATCGGTACCTTTTCGACATGGAACATCCTCAAAGCTCGCAACGAGCCTCCGCTCGAGTGCCGCTCCCTACCCCCCCCCCCCGCTTCACCGGCCATGGCCTGGATTTCTGCACCCGTGCACTACGCCCGTGGGCCCCTTTAAGCTAGCACTGGGCCCCCCGGGTCAGCGCAGGGGCCCCTTTGCCAAGTTGGCCCCCCCCAAACTCCAAGTCTGCGACCGCCCCTGGACGCCTGTGACAGGCATAGGATAAGTGTCGATAAATCCATCTAGCTACGGGAGCTCACCTGACCCAGCGTCACGGTGCATAATGGATTGACTTTCAGGTAGCGCGGCGAGCGTCAGCATGACGGGACTGTTTTGTCAAACACGACGTCACGATTAGTGACTCAGCATGCTACGGTACGACGAATCGACTGCGAGACCCTGAGCGTCACCACGGCATGACGCGGTGGCTTCATTTCCGACGCACGAGAGGTGGCCCTAGCGAGGCCAACGGAGATCTGCGATCGAGGTATCATCGGGTTCGAAGCTACCTCCATATGGTAGTCCGACACTGGTGTTGGTTTTATAATCGCGTCCCTGACGCGGCGCCCCACTGAATGCAGGTAATGCGTATGCATATCGAACATCGATTCACGAGGATGTTAGACACATGATGTTATGCTCTTGTCATGCATGGCTCCGCCTGTGATCGGGGTCTCTACTCTACTCTTTATTACATGAGTACCGGTGAACGGTGATGGTGTTGCTGCCATGCTCCTCTCCCTCCCTCCTCTCTCTCTCTCTCTCTCTCTCTCTCTCTCTCTCTCTCTCTCTCTCTCTCTCTCTCTCTCTCTCTTTCTCTCTCTCTCTCTCTCTCTCTCTCTCTCTCTCTCTCTCTCTCTCTCTCTCTCTCTCTCTCTCTCTCTCTCTCACCTGGTTCGGGCGCCCTCCAGTCGAATGGTGGTGGTGTTCATTCTCACCTGGTTCGGGCCTCCAACTGAATGGTGATAGTATTGGTGTCGTTGTCCGGTGTCCAGTGAACGACGACATCGGGGTCGAGGATGATGGAGTGATGGAGTTGAACCGCGTTCGCTGAACACAGGCCAGCCAGCAGGACCCAGCAGAGGGCCGGAACAGACTGCAGGCACGGGGAAACGGCGGAGCTCGGTAAACGGAGCCGGAGTTATACCCGGAGCAGACAGGGTAGGTATGCACTATGCAGTCACAGCCATCATGAAACAAAAATAGCTATCTCGTAATAAGATAATATCGTGTCTCACAATGTCATTCAACAGCATTTGCCTTGTAGTTATTCGATATTAGCCCGTAGCCGTTTTCACGACGGGTTATCCGGCGAGTGCACCTAATTTGACCAAATCTGCACCTAATCTCTGTTACAGCAAATAGCTTTATTTTATGAATTTATTTCAGTGTTTTAATCGATGATACTCTCTGATAATATGACAAAGCAGGCATATAAGCAATCATAGGCGGCGGAACGGGGAGAGCACCGGGGCACCGTGTCCCCTTCGATTTTGGCATTTTAACCCGCGCACCGACGGGGGGGGCGGATATCCGCCCCCCCCCCCTGAGGTTTTTCGCGGATAGCGGGAAAACCGCGGCGCGTAGCGCCGCGAAATTTGGTATGACTATTCTCTCATCAATTTTACACATGGTGTGCAAGTTTGAACCTCCTAACTTTTAAGGTCAGGTCACCAGGTCACTTTGAATGACCCAACCTCAAGTCACTTTTTTGCAACTTTGTCACCGTGCCAGAGCTACAGTAGATGTCGGAGGCCTTTGAAAGTCGCAGGATGTTATTAGGTCATTAGTAGCTACAATTTGTATATCTCGGAATTTTGATGTCGGTGACCTAAGGTCAGGTCAATTTCGCGACCTCCCCATTATAAGTCAATGGGGGAAAAATCAACTCCCTGTTTTTACCACTAAAACGGGTCGGAATGGCCCCATATACCATACATGACTTCACATACGACCAACCTTCACTACCTTGAGGTCTGTTTTGCTGTTGGGCAGCTGTAAGGTCATGTGACGTCATCAAAGGTCACCAAAGGTTTTTTGCCAATAACTCCTTACAGGAACAAGATACAGCCGTGCGGATGGTCTCATTGTGTTCAGCTCGTCAAGACGCATCGAATGATATACATGATGACCTCGAGGTCACGTGACCTGAGGTCAACCTTTGACCTTGACCTTTCGAGGTCAACATATATATCATTCGATGCGGATTGACGAGAGGATCACGATGATGCCCTTAGTTTGTTCCTATCTTGACTACTTCGAAAGTTATTCAAGAAAAACCCTCTCCATATCTAGCGCCGCCATTTTGACTTTTTCGACCCCTGTGACGTCATCTTTGACCTGACCTGAAAATGACCTTAGTAAAAATTGTAGACCTTGTCCGTGCGTATCCGATGCCGTTTACCGCTTGTCGCTATCTTGCTTCGTTCTCGAGATCTCAGGGGGGGGCGGTCATCCGCCCCCCCCCCCCCCCCCGTCGGTACTAAGTTGGCGCAGACCCCCGTCGGTGCGCGGGTTAACATAAGCCCTGTTGGTGTTGCATGGAAAAAATGGGACCAAAAGTCGGCAGTGCCCCCCCCCCCCCCTAACTGAAGGCGTTCCGCCGCTACTGTAAGCAATTAGTGCAACCCTAGCTGATAGCTACTAAGAGACACACTGAACCTAATTTGACCAAATCTGCACCTAATCTGCACCAGATGTGCACCAAATGTGTACCAGATGGCCGTCGTGAAAACGGATTTTCTCTACCTCACCGACGTGGGTGAATCAGAAATGCCTACCTTAAAAAAACGTATTCGAGGTACGAAAATTATCTCGGAAGGCACTAGTCTGAGGAAGTTAAACGGTAAAAAAAAGACAGGAAACCGTATCTTCTGAAAAATTGGGATTTCTCTATCTTTTAAAGATGTGGAGATAAGCGATATCTTAGGCGTCTCAGGATTACCTACATACAGTGTCAATGGGTTTTCATCCTGCATCGGTCGCTACCTGCAGAGGCAGCCGTCTGAATTTTCTATAGTCACTGTACGAGTATGACTGTCCCCGTTGGCAGCTAGCTCTTCTCGCACAGCAGCTAAATAGTTGCGCAATAGCTAAGTATGCATTACGAAACAAACATCGAGACAGAGTGACGGGATATCTTCTCCTGGTGCATCGACCTCGCGTGGTCATTCGATCCCTAACAGCATCTCACTTTTACCTCGCCCATCGCGCCTCCATGCTAACTAGACTGACTACTTCCTACATGCCCACTCCTATGACCGTGCCCACTCCCAGAGAACCTCTAACGTGCTACGTACTCGACTCCCCTGCGTTACTTTATCAACGAAACGCACTTCGGTGGTCGCCCAGCTAAGACATCTCTGTCATTACTCAAATTAAAGTCCACCTTCAGTCGACACCTTCATCACCTGCATAATCCTGTGCAAAGTAACCAATTACTAACCTTCATCGCTGAGCGTCGGTCGCGCCCCTAACGGTGTCGGCACTCGAGGGAGGTCGTCGCGTGCTCGTCAGTCGGGGAGCCGCTGGCGGTGGCGGGCTTCCTCTCCCGGCCGGGCCGAGGGAGTGACTGGAGTGACTGACTGGAGTGACTGGAGCGAGCTGAATGGCGCCGCGGCTGTCCGCCGCCCGGCGCGTCTCGGCTCCAGGCGACAGCCGCAGCGGGCGGCGCAGCCAGCGCGTGATGGGCCACACTGATACCGAGCGGAGGACACCCGAGAGGCTCCGCGACGTTCGACCAGCTCCATCCGCGCCAGGCGAGACGGGACGGACCGTCGGAAGGTCATTTCATGCTCAAAAGAAACGAACTGTACCATTCGAAGATGACTGTGAGCTGATTCCAAAAGTGTAATTTTATCAAAATCGATCGATGGCGTTTTTCAAAAATTGTGTTTTTGTGAAAACGCTATTATATTTTATTCAATGGGCTGCATCGCGGGCATTCTTGAAGTCATAGGCATGTCTTTTTCGCATCCCAGTGAAAGCTGAACACCAAAAAAATAGTATGTAGCGAAAAAATCTCAAACATGAATATGTGTCTCCCACAGCCGACATAAGACGCAATCACAGCTCAGTCTCAAAATGGACCAGAGTCAGCCACACAAAAGTGTGAAATGACCCTTTTCGACCCGCAGATCCGGCACTCTCGGCCCGCTTGACCCGCCACGGAAGGAACGTTCGGCTCTCGTTCTACTAAACAAGTGTCATATTTATTAATAACCCTCGCCCGTATTAGTGTTTTGCCAGCCGCGAACGTATAGGGGGGGGGGGGGGGGTCCGTTGTATCTCCCTTGCCGACTGGCCCCTGATCAAGCTAGAGCTTCGCGGAAAAAAACGAGCGAGTTGCCCGTGACGAGAGGAAGTCAATAATAACCAAATTTAAGGTTCAAACTCCTAGGTCATTGGTTGACCTTCCAGTTCAGGTCAATGACCTACAAGTCGGGAAAATCGGGACCTGTTAACCCGCGCCCTGGTGGGGTCTGTTTATAACGCGACCTGGTGGGGGGGGCTATTTTTTGCCCCCCTCGTATCTCCGAAACTACTGGACGGATCCGCAAAATTCAAACGGCGTTCGAAAGGCCTGTCAAATTTGTCGAAGGAAACCAAATTTCATTGACCTCGGGGTCACCGATGACGTCATAGGTCAGGTCAAAGATGAAATGCTTCACCGTTCACGGGTCTTCTAGGGAATGCGCTATAACACCGAGGAAAACGCATTTTGTCGAGAATCAGCGGTAGGGCGTCAGTTGCCTAGTAGATATGTTGCTATTAGAGGTCACTGGCAATACCAGGTCAGGTCACAGGTCAGGTCACCAAGTCACAGGTCAGGTCACATGAGCCCAACTTTACTAAGGTTGTGTGATACATGTTTTATGGCCAACTTTTCATTTCCAACTCAATGGTGTTGGTTATAAGACTATCAGGTACGGGTTAGGTCACTTTCTGGTGAAGTTCAGGTCAAGGTCAGGTCAAGGTCAGGCCAAAAAAGGTCAAATTTTAAAGTTGATAGTTTTGCATAAAATGGGTATTGATTCGATGCAGCTCGTCACGGGGAGTCTAATGGTGGTCTTTGTTTTGCGCTACGGGGTCTAGAATTGCTAAAAATTGAGTTTGAAAATTTGACGTCATCAATTTTGAACAGTTTTTTCGCTATAACTTCGCCAAAAAAGAGGTATGAATCTCAAATTGGTATGTGGATGGAAGGCGGTAAGGACTTTCACAAATATTCCGGTTTTTGCGAAATTCAAAAAACTTTTTGGATTTTTCGATTATTTATATCCAAAAAATTTATTTTTTAATTTTGAGGGGTCAAAATCCAAAAATTTCAAAAATCCGAGATAACAGTTTTGCAGCCCTGTCCAATCTACAGCTTTTATGTCTTTATCATTTTTCTGTATTTGCAAAGCTATAGGCCTGACAGCTCTTCCCGCGAAACCCTTTTTTGGGTCGAAAACGGCAGAACATGACGTCACTCTGACGTCATTTCCGGCCAACCTATCATAGCTTTTGGAAAAATTTTTGGTCACAATATGTAAAATTGATGTTCGGGAGGGTACTGAAAGTTTGGTGACGATCGGCGCAGCGGTTCTGGAGATATATAGAAAAGTCTGGAGGGGGGGGGGGGGCAAAAAATAGCCCCCCCCCCACCAGGTCGCGAGTTAAAACGTCGTCAAGTGTGGCTGCTATGGGTTTTTTTCGAGGTGCTGATCTCGAATATCATCACGGTATAGTTTTGATCGAAGGCACCAAAACTCTGTTGTACCTAACTGGTCAAATTTGGTTGCAAAATTCGAATTCCGAGCTTTAAAAACTAGCCTAGAACATAAAGGGGAGACCAGGGGGGTATGGGCCATCGCAGTTTTGAAGAAGTGTTGCATATTTTTACACATTTGACCACTAAACTGGTAGCAGTCATTTCGTTATGCAGCCCACGTGATTTCCAAAATATTCCTTTGTCCTCTTTGGCAATGAGCGGTGATAAAGCGTTTTTGCCCCCTTCGAGTAAAATGTGTTACATAAAGTAAATTCGTGATCAATATGAACCAGGCTCCAGTGGCGGCGGAAGGTATTTTGGGATGGGGGGGCACACCTGATCCTTCCCGGAACCTAGGGTACCCCCAAATCTAGTTTTCTCACCGGTTTTAGGCCACTTATTTTTCACCTCTTGGCCTTTACAACAAAAATAAAAAATAAAACATTTGCAAATAAGTGAGATAATTAGTCTCATCTGAGTCAAGAAACTACCTTTTTGGTAACCTGGAATAAACGTTTAAAGCTTCCACACATGAGCTGTCAAGTCAGGTACGGGGACCCGCAGTTGCTACTGTACAGCGACCCTGAGTAAATTGTCCCAGCACCCTCACAGGGAACAACGATAAGCTGTCAGAGGGCACGCACAGAAAACCTCAGCTGCTCTTGTGCAGGGACCGGCAGTCGATATCAATGTTATCGGTTGTTACTGGACAGGACAGACGGCTAGAGTTGGGGTTCGTGTACAATAGCAACTGCGGGTCCCCGTACAGAGGGGGATTTTTTTACTTAAATAGGTATTGTCTTCCATTCAGCTTTTCTTTGAGGCCCTCGGCCGCTAATATGGGGAGGACAAGCTGCCCCGACGGTTCCTGGCCCTTTGAAACTTTGCGGGGGCAGAGAACCCCACGGCCCCAGAGTTGTGGGGGCAGGCTGCCCCCATGCTGCCCCCCGGCTCACGCGCCTATGCCGGCTGGCGTCTGGCAGAGTCGCGGGGAAAGGCCTGTGGCACGCTCAGACGCACTTTCGTGACGTCCGTGCCGCCTGCCGGGCCACTCGCGTTCCGTCCTACTCTTCCAGACTTCGGTTACCGGTAGCTCGTAGATAGCTCTGCTTGATTTCTGAGCATTATGTGTGGAGGGCGTTTGGTGGAAATAGTCCGTCACGGACTAGCTCGCCGGATAGCCCGTCGTGAAAACGGCTATTATCAATCCAAGTTACTCGCTATATCAACTTAATAAAAAGGTACTCAGCCAAACTGGCATATGTTCCTGACGTAGGTAGTATGGAAGTATTGTGGTACTTCGTCGATAACAATTTTGGGGGGGGGGCAAAAAGATATGTTTGCCCCCCCACCCTGGAAGATGGGGGGGGGCGCCGTGCCCCCGCTGCCCCCCCGCTTCCGCCGCCACTGCCAGGCTCGTTTTATTATGTCAGACCATCGCTTAACCCGCGCGGGGCTGGGGTCTCCAGCCGAACGCGCGGGGCTGGGGGGGGGGGTAAATTTTACCCCCCCCCCCTGTTATCTCCCGAACTAATGGTCCGATTTGGAAAATTCAAACGCCAATCGAAAGATCTCATATCACGAACAACTAAAAACATGTACTTAATTTAAAGTTTGAGGTCAAGGTCAAGGTCAGGTCAAGGGTACAAATTGCAAGTTTCTACAGTATCGGCCTTGCATCGTAGTTGCCGAAGAATGGAGTCATGGACTGAGACTGATTGCCCAAAACGTGTTCTTAGGCTACCAAGACAATATTCGTTGCATACAATATCATTCAGAGGTCAAGGTCAAGGTCAGGTCAGGTCAGGTCAGGTCACCAAAAACAAAATATAGAAAAGGGCATGTGCGACACATGTTTTATGGGTCATTTTACTCATAGAATTCAATAGGCACACTCAATAAGTGATATGGACCACCTCTGGACGAATTTCAGGTCGAGGTCAGGTCAAGGTCAGGTCAAGTGAGGTCAAATTTTGAAGTTGGTTGTTAAGGCCTAAAAAGGTGTCTATCTGATGCAGTTTCTCACGGCGAATCGAATGGTGCTATTTTTGTTACCGTACGAGGTCTAGAACTTCCAATAAAATCATTTTTCGAAATTTTGTGTGTGTCGTGACGTCATCAAATCTTTAATAACTCCCACATTTTTGAACCGATTCTTCTAAAAATTGGTATGTAGGTGCACATAGACCACTTCTCTGACATATATTCCGTTTTTTTTCGATACACACAAAATTTTGGATTTTATAATTATTTTCCCAAAGAAGTCAGTTTTTGAAGAAAAAAATTGGGCCAAAATCCAAAATTTTCCGAAACCGAGATAGTCATTTGATAGACAAAGTAGAATTACATATAACCTTTTTTGATACGTCTTGATTACTTTAAAAATGAAGATGTTAGCGGCGTTTGAAAATTTGCCGTTTTTGAGGCGAAAATGGCGAACATGACGTCACTAAAACGTCAATTTCTCAAAAAAATTCCGACGGATTTCACTCAAATTTTCAGGGAACGTGTCAAATTGATGTAAAAAAAGGTACTGAAAGTTTGGCGGCGCTGCGCGCCGCCGTTTTTAAGATATTGCAAAAATTCGCGAGGTTACCCCCCCCCCCAGCCCCGCGCGGGTTAAAGGTTAAAGCATGCAAATTAAGACTGGATAGACAATTTGAAAACGCCGCCTCGCGGGGCTCGATACGACCACTGGTTCTCGAGATAACAGGGGGGGGGGGGTCGGATCCGACCCCCCAGGCTGATGTGGGTGCGGAAATAGCCCAGGCGGTGCCGGGTTTTAATCTTAAGTTTGAGGTCAAGGTCAAGGTCAGGTCAAGGGTACAAATTGCAAGTTCCTACAGTATCGGCCTTGCACCGTAGTTGCCGAAGAATGGAGTCATGGACTGAGACTGATCGCCCAAAACGTGTTCTTAGGCTACCAAGACAATATTCGTTGCATACAATATCATTCAGAGGTCAAAGTCAAGGTCAGGTCAGGTCAGGTCAGGTCACCAAAAACAAAATATTGAAAAGGGCATGTGCGACACATGTTTTATGGGTCATTTTACTCATAGAATTCCATAGGCACACTCAATAAGTGATATGGACCACCTCTGGATGAATTTCAGGTCGAGGTCAGGTCAAGGTCAGGTCAAGTGAGGTCAACTTTTGAAGTTCGTTGTTAAGGCCTAAAAAGGTGACTATCTGATGCAGTTTTTCACGGCGAATCGAATGGTGCCATTTTTGTTTCCGTACGAGGTCTAGAACTTCCAAAAAAGTCATTTTTCAAAAATTTTGTGTGTTGTGACGTCATACAATTTTGAATAACTCCCACATTTTTGAACCGATTCTTCTAAAACTTGGTATGTAGGTGCATATAGACCACTTCTCTGACATATATTCCGGTTTTTTTCAATGCACTCAAAATTTTGGATTTTATAAATATTTTCACAAAAAAGTCAGTTTTTTAAAATTTGGGCCAAAATCCAAAATTTTCAAAAAACCGAGATGGCCATTTGATAGACAAAGTAGAATTACGTATATCCTTTTTTGTTACGTCTTGATTCCTTTAAAAATGAAGATGCTAGCGGCGTTTGAACTTTTGCCGTTTTTGAGGCGAAAATGGCGAACATGACGTCACTAAAACGTCAATTTCGCAAAAATTTTACGACAGATTTCGCTCAAATTTTCAGGGAACGTGTCAAATTGATGTAAGAAAAGGTACTGAAAGTTTGAGATATTGCAAAAATTCGCGAGGGAGGGTAAAATTTACCCCCCCCCCCAGCCCCGCGCGGGTTAACCCTATTAGTGGCAGGCTCCTGGCTACCCCCTATTAGTGGCAGGGGGGCTGTTTACGACCCCCCTTGATATCTCGAGATCTAACGGGCCGATTTTCAAAATTCAAACGGCATTCGATTTCGCTCAACGAGATCTACATTTCTAAAAAAAAATAAAATTGAAAAATGTCAATAGGGGGGTAGAGGGGGGTAAAAACGGGCAAATTGCAGATACATTTTAGACTGTTTATCACGGCCAGGTTTCTGAGCCAATCTTAACGCAACTTTTGCCGATCGATAGAGAATGAACCAGGAATTCACATGGATCCTAAAAATATGCATTTTCAAAAATCATAGGCGGATACAGATCATTGAGATTGGGGGTACACAAAAAGTATAGTTAATAAGGTTTTTGTTGGTACTGTTTCTTGGCAATGGTCTTGTTATGTTACAATTTTATTATGAGAGAACGACTAAAATTGTATTGGTCATGCATAGGCGGTGTCAGGGCACCTATGTTGGGAGGTAAAAAATAACCCCCCTTTTTGGACGCCTGGATCCGCCTATTATAGCAAAAACGTGTCAAAAGAGGATGCACAATAACTTTGTATATGTTATCACATGATACCTTTCATTCACTGTTCGTAAAACTGGTGCAGCATCGTGATCTTCGCCCAAATGACTCGCTTCACGAATAGGACCCCCCAATTCCCAGTGCTCTGGAGCCGCCCCTGGTAAAGTTATGAACTTGAAATTTTCAGGGAATGTGCCCAATTTAGTTTTAGGAAAAGTCAGAAAATTTCAGCATCGTATCTTCAGCGGTTTCGGAGATATTCCCGAAAAACCTGAGGGGTGGATAAAAACACCCCCCCCCCCTGCCACTAATAGGGTTAAATGGCACACGTTCGCGTTCAACTGAAGTTTTCCTCTCTTCAACCTAGTTTTGGAGGCATTATAAGCGTCAACGTGACGCAGCGGCAGCCCAGGCCTTCAGTGACCGCTTACAGGGGCGACGGATACGGGGTGGCAGAGGAGGCACCGTCCCCTAAGAAACTTTTGGAGGAGGGGCAAACGTATATTCTTACCCCTCCATAATTTGTGCCCTAAACATGAGGAAAATTTTCATAACCTTTTGCATATTTTCTATTGCATGTGGTAATTTTCATAACCATATTGCAGCTTTGCGCTCCTACAGGTGCCTTTTGAATATGTGTAAATGCTAACCATTTCCGCTTTATATCATTTTTTGTCTTTTCAGATTCGATTTATATATATTTTAAGTGCGAGAGACGCAACTCATACCTTCAGTGGTCGTTTGCCGCTATTTTGTACCTACATAAATGCCAAATCGCAAGCGAGCGGAGACGGAAGGGCTAGCCATTCGCTTGCGGGTAGTTAGGACTGATGAGCGCTGATAATAAGCCACTCCCCTGATTTTTTTTCGAGCGCAAAAGTTTCCAGCGCATAAAATGGTAAACGCCGAGGTCGTACACATTGATCACATTGACCAATGCACGGTATGGTATGACGCCCGGCCAGTCATCAGAGATCTGCTTTGGGCATTCGGAGGCTTGTGTGGGGCCAGTGTAAAAACTGGATGTTCACAGTTCAATATCCGCTTTATTTCAGTTTTCACCATAAAAAAGTAAAAATTAATGTTGGAAACTTTTGAGGGCTAGGGCGCTAATCATTAGTGGGCCCCCCTCTGTCGTAAGGCTGGCTATAGAATAAAGAGCATCAAACACGAACAGTAGCGGCGGAACACCTTCAATTAAGGAGGGGGGGGGGGGGGCACTGCCGACTTTTGGTCCCATTCTTTCCATGCAACGCCCATAGGGCTAACGTTAAAATGCCAAAATCAAAAGGAGCGTGCACGGTGCCCCGGTGCCCTCCCCGTTCCCCCGCCCATGAACACGAAAGCAAAATCTAAGGCATTTTGGAAAAAAAAAATGAGTATGCCCCGCAGCGTCCGATAACTACCACCTTCCAGTGGGTCAAGCCAACGGGGCCCAAGTCTATAATGGCACTTAACGATAGCACTAATCTTGTCTCACTTTTCGTTGAAGTCTGTTCCGAATGGTTTCGGCCACAGACTTGCTGCACTGAGGTCGTTTGATATGTGCAACTGTAATTAAAGCCACCTGAGGCGCCCTGACACCAGGCTGAAGCTGGGTTGGAAATGCTTCGTCTTTGCAGATATCACTGGCCGCTGATTCTCGAGTGCCTGAACCGGTAGATGTCATGGCAAAATTTGGTGTGATAATTTGGACCTTACCGCAGCCAGCGCACCCTAAAGCCCTAATAAAGAAACGCCCCACCCAGAGCTTCTGGATTCTCGTTCCAGTCCACCGTTCCTTCACCCCAGCCCGCCGCCGCGCTCCCTCACCTCAGCCCTCTGTTCCCAGCTCATTGACGAGCGTTTGGGCCTTAGTTAAGCCTTGCTGTAGGCTTACTGTATAAACCCATCGAGACAGCTCGTCTCGGTGAGCTTCGTTGGCGAACTACTGCCTTGGGGAGTGTGGTGACGTAGCCCTTTGCCCTCTGAACTTTGTACAGTAGACTAGGTGGCGCTGAGCTCGTTGCGCTAGTGGGCACGGTGCGGCCGTGCAGCAGTCGCGCGCCGCCCCCGGCACGGTCCGGGTAGGATCCGTGTAAACGTGTGATCGTGGATCGCGCAGCCAAGAATAAACCTGCTTAGAACCGCATAGTCTCGCCAGTCGGCTCACGACACAACACTTGGCGACAAGGACTGAGATTTCGGACTGGCGAGCAGCGGACGCACTCCGAGACACGCTGGGGATCGCGATCCGGTGCGTGGGAGGCCTGATTTGGCCTGGAGCGGAGTGGCGTGGCGGTATTGGCAAGTTGAAGTTCCGAACAGTTTCGTGTCCTGCGTGTACCGAATTGCTCGCACCAGTGTGGCCATAGGGCGCCGGCGTGATTTTGTTGGATATTTTCGCTCGCGCGGCGGGACGGCGCGGCGGCCATCTTTGCATCCCGCCACGCGTGCGGCGGCGCGGCGGTGAGTGTGACGTCACGCGAGTTTCGGCGGGCTGCCGCAAGGGGGCAGCCGACGGCGGCGGGGCGCGGGGCCGCCAGTCGCCGGACGCCGGCGGAGTGGTGCGGAAGTGCGTGGGAGTGCTGCGGCTCGTGCTGTTAACGGAGCGGCCGGCGGGCCGTGACCGGTGTGCGGAGGGTGGAACGCCCTCTTTGGATGCGGCAAGACACCACATTGGGGCCGGTCAGGTGTCGTCGATCCCCACCCACGCGAGGGTGTTGGTAGATTGACTTCACTGCCCCTGGATGCAGCAAGTAACTTCTTCCGCGTGACTGGCTGCCGTGTGGCCAGCGAGCGGCCGGGCAGTCCGTACGAGTGAGCGGTGGTGTGGCGGTCGGCGCCAGTGAGGTGATAGCCTGTGCGCGTGACCGACCTGTGGCTGCTGTGAGTGTGGTGTGCAGGCAATTGTCATGGAGGCCCAAGGGATGGCCTTCCCGCCTGTAGCGCGCTATTCCCCGGGCGGGGATTTTGGGAGGTGGCTGAGGGAGGTGGACAGGTACATGGCCGCCGTCGGCATTCAGGATTCAAACCGCAAGAGTGCCGTCCTCCTGCATCTGATCGGGCCAGACGTCGCCGACATCGTGGACACCCTGCCGGAGGAGACCGACGCGACGGCGGAGGCCGACGACTACGACAAACTGAAAAAGAAGCTGACAGCGTACCTGTCCCCAGTAAGGAACACCGTGGCAGAGCGTTCCGCGTTCCACCAGATGCGGATGGAGGCATCGGAGGACCTAGAGCACTTTCTGGGGCGCCTCCGTGCCCAAATCGCGCTGTGCAGCTACCCCGCCACGGAAACGGACACAGAACTGAGGGATCAGTGCGTGCTGGGCTGCCGAGCGGGTCTCCAAGAGAAGCTTGTCCAGTTGGCGGCCTCTAAGGGGGACAAACTCACACTGGAGGAGGTCCGGCAGGCGGGCCGTGCCCACCGCGACCTCCAGCAGCTCGGCGCCCAGCTGGCTGCCACGCGCGTAACGGAGAGGCCAGCCGCCGTGGGCGACCAGCCGCCCTATCCGCCAGAGCCGCACTCCGTGGACGCGGTGGCCGGCGGGCGGCCGGACAGTGGCCGGGCGGCGGCGCCGCGCGGACGGCGAGCGGTCCGCTGTTATCACTGCGGAACGCTGGGTCACCTGCGCCGCGACTGTCCTGCGCGACAGGACCAGCAGCAGCAGCAGCATCGGCCGGCAACAGGCAGGGGGCGCCCTGCCCAGCAGCAGCAGCCGCGGCGGCCGCGCGGCCGGGAGCGCGACGGCGGAACGGCTGACGGAGGCGGCGCCGACGGCAGGCGTCCAGAGACGCGGCGGTGCTTCAAGTGTAACAAGGTCGGACACCTGCGGCACCAGTGCCCTCAGAAGGACGATACAGACATGTGGGGCATCGACTTCGGCTTCGGGAGCATCAACTCGGTGAACCTGACGCAGGCAGTTACAGTCACCGTGCCGGTCAACGGGGTAAAAATCAACATGCTGGTGGACAGCGGCAGCCCCGTAACGGCGGTGGGGCGTGACACGCTCATCCCCGGTCTGCAGCTGAGGCCCAGCCCACTGCACCTCACCTCATTCACCGGTCACGTCATCCCTCTGATCGGTGAAGGTCAGGTGTCGGTGAGGTTCCGGGGGCGTGATCACCGTTTGCGACTGGTGGTGGTCGACCTGCCCGGCGAGAGACGGCTGCTGGGCCGCGACTGGATGTCGGCCCTGAACATCAGCGCGAGTGGCGAGGCTGCAGTACTGACCGTCGGACCGGGCGGCGTGGCCGCAGATCTGCAAGCGGTCTGTGATCGGCACGCGCCGGTGTTCGATGGCCGCCCGGGGCGGATCAAAGGGACCAAGGCGCACCTGGTCCTCAAACCCGACGCGCAGCCTGTGTCGAGGCCGGTACGTCTGCCTCCCTACGCGCTCAAACCAGCCGTGGAGCGGGAGCTGGACCGGTGGGTGGAAGCCGGTATAGCGGAGAAAATCGGACCGAACGACGCCCTGGGATGGGGCACTCCGCTGGTGACAGTCCCGCGGGCTGATGGAGGCATACGTTTGTGCGGAGACTACCGCCTGACGGTAAATCCGCAACTGCAGATGGCCACGCACCCGACGCCAACGCCGGAGGACATCTTCGCGAACGTCAGAGGACAGCAGTTCTGTAAACTCGATCTTAAGGACGCGTTCCTACAGCTGGAGCTCGGAGAGGAGTCGCGTGACATGACGACTGTGGTCACACACCGAGGAAGGTACCGAATGCTCGCTCTGCCGTTCGGGATCTCGGCGTGCAGCTCAATTTTCCAATCAGCGATTGATCATATCCTGGATGGAATTGACGGCTGCGTGGCGTACCAGGACGATTTGCTCATCGTAGGCGCTGACCGGGTGGAGCTGGCGCAGCGGCTCGACCGGGTGCTGGCTCGCCTGGAGCAGCACGGGGTCAAACTGAAGCGAGAAAAGTGCCGCCTGGGACTCGATGAAGTGCAGTATCTCGGCTGGTGTATATCGGCGAACGGACTGCGGCCGGTGAAGGACAAGGTCCAAGCCGTGCTGGACATGCCGGACCCCAAGGACGTCAAGGCGCTGCGCAGCATCCTGGGTAGTATCACCTACTATCAGCGGCTGCTACCCAACCTGTCGACGCTGCTGGCGCCGCTCTACCGCCTGCTGCAGAAAGGGGTGCCGTGGGAATGGAGCAGCGAATGTCGACACGCGCTGACTCAGGTCAGACAGCTCCTGGCAGGAGACACGGTACTCAAGCGGTACGAGCCGGAGGCGCCGCTCAAGCCGGTAACGGACAGCAGCGAGGTCGGAGTGGGAGCAGTACTGACACAGCCCGACGGCGAAGGACTGGAGCGCCCAATAATGTACGCCTCCCGCACACTCACCGGCACCGAGAGGAAGTACCCGATGGTGGAAAAGGAGGCTCTGGCAGTGTCATTCGCCGTCAAACGGTTCGGGCAGTTCCTCTATGGCCGACGATGGACTCTCGTCACGGATAACAGAGCGCTGTCGCGTATCCTCTGTCCCGAACGCGAGCTGCCGACCCTCGCTGCGGCGAGACTACAGAGGTACGCACTGCAGCTCGCAGCCTTCACGTACGACGTCGAGCTGAGACCCTCGGAGAACATGCATCTGGCTGACAGCCTGTCCCGCATGGCGGTGCCGGGGCGCCCGCTACGTCCATCAGAAGACATGCACCTGGCGGACAGTCTGTCTCGTATGGCAGTGCCAGGCGGAGAGGTCGAGCCAGCGGACGCTGAGGACGACACCAGCGGCGGCTCGTATCTGCTGTTCATGGACGGTGTAGCTCCAGTTCTGACGGCCAAACAACTCGCGGCGGCGACACGCCGCGATCGGGTACTGTCGCGCGTCCTGACGTACGTGCACAGTGGGTGGCCCGGACAGGTGGAGCAGGAGCTGGCCCCGTTCCGTCAGAGGCGGGATGAGCTCTCCACGGACCTGGGATGTCTGCTCTGGGGTGGCAGGACGGTGGTTCCCCACTGCCTTCGGCAACAGGTGCTGGCAGAGCTGCACCAAGGTCACCTGGGCAGCGCCAAAATGAAAGGTGTGGCGCGCCGATACGTATGGTGGCCGGGCATGGACGCCGAGCTGGAGGCCCTGGCGCGTGACTGCGCGGCTTGCATGGAAAAGCGCGGGGCACCACCGCGTGCTGAACTTCACCCTTGGGAACCGACGGACAGCTGCTGGTTCAGGGTTCACATCGACTTCGCTGGACCTTTCCAGGGCTCTTTCTTTCTGATAGTGTATGACAGCTACTCGCGCTGGGTGGAGGCAGTGCCGATGCGTGAGACCAGCACGGAAAGCACTGTGCGTGTTCTGCGCGAAATGTTCGCCAGGTTTGGATTGCCGGTCCAGGTGGTCAGCGACAATGGACCCCAGCTGACCGCCACTGCGTTCTCCCAGTTCCTGAACTCGAATGGGATTCGGCACATCAGGACAGCGCCGTGGCATCCAAGTAGCAACGGGGCGGCGGAGCGCGCAGTGCAAACCGTAAAGAATGGCTTGAAAGCTGCACTCAAGGACGGAGGAACGCTTTCTCAGCGCCTACAGCGGTTCTTGCTGGCATACCGGGTGGCGCCACACGCGACCACGGGGAGGTCTCCAGCGGAAATGATGCTGGGACGGAACGTGCGAACCAACCTGGACCTCCTAAAGCCGGATGTGGACGTGCGGCAGCGCGAGGAAAAACTTCGCCAGTGGCAGGCCGGTAGGCCAGGTCACAACAGGCAGTTCTCGATCGGAGACCACGTCTGGACACGGGCCTACGGTGGACCGTCCAAGTGGCGGCGGGGCGTCATCACCGCCCGGACGGGCCCGCTGTCGTTCGAAGTGGACGTGGGGAGCGCGATCTGGTCGCGGCACGCCGACCAGCTGCGTCTGGCGGGCACCCAACAGGCTGCTGCAGCGTCCGATGGCGCGGAGGAAATCAGCCGGCAGCCGACGGTGGCAGCACCGAACCGTACTAGACAGGTTCCGGTGGCCCCCACAGGGATCGGCGAACCACCGGTGACCATCAGACCGGGGGTCATCGTCGGGTCAGGTGTGACCGGCGTGTCGGAAACGACGGTCAGGTCACCGGCCACAGACGGACCAGAGGCGACGGGCAATGATGCTGTGACAGCACCTGCTACCGCTACCGGTGGCAGCTCCGAGGAAGCGCAGGTAGCTGCAGGCGACGACGCTGGTGCCGAGGAGGCGCAGGTCAGCAGAGGTGGCGGTGCGACCTCATCGGCGACAGGAACAGGAGCTGGATCAGCAACTGGGGACATCGCTCAGCGTGTTTCCGTCAGGCAGCGGAAGCAGCCACGTCGCCTCATAGCCGAAATGTGACGGCGACACAAAGTCGTGTTTGAAGCGTCTGGTTTTGCTTTGAAATAGTTTTAGACGGATGTTTAGTCTTATTTCGGCCAGTTTTTGTGTTGTCTGCTTCGCCACGACTGTCATTCCTGTTGAGGGGGGTAGTGTGTGGTGACGTAGCCCTTTGCCCTCTGAACTTTGTACAGTAGACTAGGTGGCGCTGAGCTCGTTGCGCTAGTGGGCACGGTGCGGCCGTGCAGCAGTCGCGCGCCGCCCCCGGCACGGTCCGGGTAGGATCCGTGTAAACGTGTGATCGTGGATCGCGCAGCCAAGAATAAACCTGCTTAGAACCGCATAGTCTCGCCAGTCGGCTCACGACACAACAGGGAGGGTTTCTGGCGGATCGCTGTCCCAATAGGTTTAGATGCGACCGACTGTCTCTGAATGTTTGAGCGGTCTCCTCCCGCTGTGAGCTAGTTTCAGTTGATATCTGTCTCAGAAATACTTTTTAAAGGAAGTTAAACGGAAATCCAACGTAAAATGAACAGAGGAAATGGTAACGAGTTACCTCATTGAAGAGTAGCGCTCGCCTACTTCAAAAGGTTTGGCACCGTTCTTCAACATCTGATATGCGATCGAGTTATGGCACAATTTTTCCCATTGGAGCTTTTTTCTAATACAGCAATACGAAATGCGTTACATCGTCCACTGGCGGATCCAGGGAGCGGGCATTTAAAACAAATATTTACTCCCCCTCCCCCTGGCCCCTGCATCGCCCGAAATAGACAAAACGTACCTTATGTTTCCTAATAATAACATTTTTATCAGGATTTTTTTTTTTATACTGTTCAGCAGTAGGTCCGTAAGGAATCGAAATGCGAGGAGTTTTTGGATTTTGGACACTTTTTTGGGGGGGGGGTATGTCCCCTAGAGCGTCGAAAACGCCTTTCTGGATCCACCTATGAAATCATCTCGACTGGGATCTTGCCCCCCCCCCCACGCCAAAATCGAATCCGCCGCCACTGACCTCCAGTGATCCAAAATCAATAGATTGGTGCTTTCGTTGAATGTTCTCTTCAATGAGTTTTGTTTTTGTCGCGCATGGTCGAAAATTTAACTACAGATTGCATTTTAACAGAAAAATATTGTTTTTCTTATTTCATGGAACATGATTGAGTTAACCATAATAAATATGTGCTCAAGTGGCTTCCATAAAGTAAGTTTTTGGTCGCTTATGCGGTACCTGGGATCTAAGAGAGCTCAATGTAGATCCCAGCTACGAGCATTGTTCTAAATGTCGAGAAAAGAATATGAAACATGACACCGGCCCATACCTCCTGGGCCATGGCCCATACCTCCTGGGCCATGGCCCATACCTCCCGGTTTATTTTGATGGATCGAAAAAGTGCATGATTTATTAAAAGTTATCTCGAGACAAAATAGTTGATCCCAGGAGCCTAATATCAGGCACACTTTACAGGCGAAAGGCGATATCACGTACACAGAGTGAAAAACCAGATCCAGCCACTGCCCATTGGAAGAAAATTATCATTTCACAAAACCGGCCCATAGACCTCCTGGGTCTCCTCTAAAACTCGAAAAAGTGAACCGAGGCCATCAAAGGTTAATGACCTGGCATGACAATCAGGTGACCTTGACACCTACCCTTAGGCATGGACCAACATCATATCACATGTTTGAACGCTTGAAACCACGAAAAGACTGCAAACGCGCGGCTAATGCCGAGCCGACATACCCCGAATCGCGATTCCGGCAAAACATGGTCTCGGGAAATAGGTCACAGGTCAAAGGTCATTTGGTTCAGGGTCATGAAGTTTTTAGGGCAGGTGTAAAATTGATCAACTCGAGGGTACTGAAAGTTGCGTCGCGATCAGCCACTTTTTGCACGAGTTATTCGCCAAAAACCGGGGGGTGGGTCCGTTCGACCCCCTCCCCCCTCTTACTGGCCATACATGAGGTTACGATGACAGAACAACGAATCTCCTTCTCATGTATCCTGAATAACTCTAGTACCGACTTGAATCGTTAAACTTACAAATATGACGTCCATTTACAAGTACCTACATTATGCTGCGCACCGTTCCGTTCCGGGTGTCCTGGTGACTGATCACAGGTAGGTATATCAAAATTGGGATGGCCGCCACGCGCGCTGCTGTTGCCGCAGCACCGCGTGCGTACTGAGTAGTGACTAGTGAGTAGTACACCGTCCAACTTTGTGCTGGTGCGTAAGGGGGCGTGCAGGGCATCCCACACTTCCGCCCCCGTGAGGGCGTCCCACGCGTGCGTCCCACGGAGACTGGCGGGCACCCATGTGTCCCACGCGAGTTGGCAGTACGGATCACCCCGTGGCGGTCACAGGCCTGCACGGGCGCGCCGCGGCGAACAGTGCGATCAGAGAATGGACGCTGGATCACTACCTCGTCATGAACAACGACGCCACGGGCGCTGCAATCAGGGCCACGGGTCATCCGGGTGTAAGTGTCCTTCAACTGCAAATAAACGAGCAGACGACGCGGCAGTCGGCAGTGGCATCTGTGGTGGCGCCTAGCGGGTGGACAGCGAGAGGGAGCCGATCGGGCGCTAAGCACTTCTCAGTAAAGCGACGGGGTGTCTACCTATAGTGATAAGCACCGGCGCTGCTATGCTGGGTTCCTTTGGTGAAGAGACATGTATTTGTGGTCATAATCGCAATGAAAACAAACGTTACGACAGCTTTTGATGTCTGAATAAATACGCGCGCAAAATTTTAGGAAATGGCAACAAGAGAGACACCCCTTGCTCATTCTATAAAGGCATCGTATTCGTAGCATGAAAGTTCAGAGAAAGTCTTGGGAAGTTCAAGACTGAAGAGAGTTACATCTATCGAGTCTACCAAGCCACATGTCTGGTAGTCAACCGAGACACCAGCTGAGTAGGAGATTGTGGAAGTAGAGGGCGCGCGGCCCGACGGCGCCAGCACGCCACTAACGGCCGTCGACACCGACAGCGCTGGCCAACGCCCCGGCGCCCGACTGAGCGCCGCCGCCAGCCGACCCTCCCATTTCTATGGTGCTCACGCCGCCACTGCCCCAACGGGGCTTTCCCGTCCGAACCAAGATACGTCCAAACCGTGGCGGTGGCGGCGGGCGGCAGTCCAGTGCCGCGGTGGCTGGGGTGAGACACCCACCCGTGCAGAGCTACATGGTCGCCACCTGCGGCTAACGACGCAGTCAACCGCCAGCTACCATCGCAACCGCAGGTCGTGCGCACACGTGAACCGGCGCCGACGCGTGAAGTGCGTGTGCCGCAGCGCGCATAACACGGTGTGACATCGGGTGTCGACGCAGTCTGCCGCCGCCGCGTCGCCTCGTAGAGCGGTGACGATCCAACATGGCCACTCAGGGTCATGCAGAGCCACGACGGCTGGCCGCCAGCGCGCGCAACAGTGCAAGAACTCTGGCGCTAGCAGTGCTCACCACTTATGCACTTTTGGCGACTCCATCGACCGGTGCTCCGCCTGCAGCGAAGGCCGATGTACGACTGCCTCGCGACGTCTCACTAAAGGTCACCGTGCGGCCATCAGTGCTGTCTCGCTCGAAGCGTGCGCCTTTCATCGACGACGACGCGATCAACAAGCTGATACACTACGGCTACCTGCCTGAGTCATATCGTCAGACTGGCAACGAGTCTCAGCTGACGGACGCCATCCGACAATTCCAGCGCAACGCCCACATCCCCGCGACTGGTGTGGTAGACGAGCTGACGCGAAGACAGTTCGCAAAGCCACGCTGTGGCCTGCCCGACGTGCAGCCGCGCGGTCGCGACAAGAGCTACCGGCGCCGCCACAAGCCAGCCGCACCTCCTGACGCGTGCGACACGCACTACGATGCAATAAGTGTTATCCGAGGCGAGACGTTCATCTTTTCAGGCCAGTACTTCTGGCGCACCAACGGCACGCACAAACCAGTGCCAGTCAAGATCTCCAAGTTCTGGTACGGTCTGCCAGAGAATCTCACCAAGATCGACGCCATCTACCAGCGACCACATGACCACAAGATCGTCATCTTCATCGGTCGGCAGTTCTGGGTGTACAACAGTAACACGCCAGAGGTCGGCTACCCGCAGCCACTGACTGCACTCGGACTTCCCGAAAGCCTCGACGGCCTCGACGCCGCCATGGTCTGGGGACACAACGGCAAGACGTACCTCTTCCGCAACGACATGTACTGGCGTTTCGACGAGGCCGTCGGCCAGGTGGAGCTGGACTATCCGAGGGACATAAGTGTGTGGCACGGGGTGCCGTACAAACTCGATGCCGCCTTCCAATACGGTGGTCTCCTGTACTTCTTCAAGGGACGTGACTTCTGGCGCTTCGACGACCGTCTGATGCGCGTGCGAAGTCCAGTGCCGTCGTCATCAGCCGTTAAGTGGATGGGATGTCCACTGACAACGGCGCGCGTTGAATAATTGTTGAATCGCGTGTGTATTGAGAACCAAGTCCGCCGAACCCCGAAACCCGAATCCGCGTTCCGACACCAACACACCGAATCCACGTCCCGGCGCCAACTCCCTGACATTCTGGATAGCAGGGTTGTGCTTGGCTCATGAGTCGAGTCAGAGATTTGACTCAACTCTGACTCAGATGAGTCAGGTTTGAGTCGAGTCGGATAAAATGTTGAGTTGTTGAGTTGAGTCAGAGTTGATTCAGACAAAAATATTAAGGTGTTGAGTTGAGTCAGAGTTGAGTCAGTAAAATAACTTTTGACATTGAGTTGAGTCAAAAACATTTAGGAACATGAGTCAGCTGACTCATCTTTCTAGAAACAATCTATATAAGCTTTTCATTCTCCCCCGCTTAACAACTTAGGCCTGGCCCTGCTGCCGGATTTTTTTCACCCCCCCCCCCCCCCCGCTCAACAACTTTTTTATCTGAGTCAATTGTGAGTCAACACACTTGACTCAACAAAAAAAAAATTTGAGTCAAGTTTGAGTCAACTCATATTTTCATTGAGCCGCTTGAGTCATGAGTCGAGTCAAGGGAAAAAATCAGCTCCTTGTTTGAGTCAGAGTTGAGTCAGGGCTTTCTGAAGTTGAATGATGAGTCGAGTCGGCAAATGTTTTTGAGTCGAGCACAACCCTGCTGGATAGCAATGGTGAGCAGGGTTAGGGCGAGATTGCATAACAATATTGTTCTAAGTAAACGTGCAATGAGGTTATCGGTGGAGCCAACGAATAACTAAATGCATATACCTACCTAGGCACTAAATGCACATAGTTATTTGTTAGCTCCACCGATAACTTCATACCTAACACAAATATGTCACTAAATAATCAGTATAAACGTGCAATAATTGTTGGATTCGAGGAAATTCGATAGGATTTAGAATGCCAATTTAATATTCTGGAGTTAATATATAAGGTGCTGTAGCAGCCAGTCAGCCTGTCTTTGCTAGAGAAATGCTAGATTTACAAAACAGAAGGGGCACAGCATAGTATACACTGTAAAAAAAAGTTTAGCATCACCAAGCAGCTAAATGCACTTAAGTACCATGGTAAAAAAAATAAGCACCACCCACCGGCTTATTTTAAGCAGGCTAAGAGGATGTCCGTGAAGTTAGCGTCAGCAACAGCAACGAATACAGCGTCGGATTCAGAATCGCTTCAAAAACTGCCATCAGGTCAATTGGGGGACGGGGAACACGTATATGACGTTTATTTTGCCCTAGCTCCCTTCCTTCATCCCTTAATCGTCCCTTAAAGGACGGGGCGCGTCAAAAGTGCCCCAAGGCCTCGTCTGATCGCCAAAATAATGGTCGCAATCGATTCCTCGGGTCAATATCTAACCTCAGTCGAAGGTTCCAGACCTGTGGCTCCTATCCCTCATCCCTTAATCGTCCCTTAAAGGACGGGGCGCGTCAAAAGTGCCCCAAGGCTTCGTCTGATCGCCAAAATAAGGGTCGCAATCGATTCCTCGGGTCAATATCTAACCTCAGTCGAAGGTTCCAGACCTGTGGCTCCTATCCCTCATCCCTTAATCGTCCCTTAAAGGACGGGGCGCGTCAAAAGTGCCCCAAGGCTTGGTCTGATCGCCAAAATAATTGTCGCAATCGATTCCTCGGGTCAATATCTAACCTCAGTCGAAGGTTCCAGACCTGTGGCTCCTATCCCTCATCCCTTAATCGTCCCTTAAAGGACGGGGCGCGTCAAAAGTGCCCCAAGGCTTCGTCTGATCGCCAAAATAATGGTCGCAATCGATTCCTCGGGTCAATATCTAACCTCAGTCGAAGGTTCCAGACCTGTGGCTCCTATCCCTCATCCCTTAATCGTCCCTTAAAGGACGGGGCGCGTCAAAAGTGCCCCAAGGCTTCGTCTGATCGCCAAAATAAGGGTCGCAATCGATTCCTCGGGTCAATATCTAACCTCAGTCGAAGGTTCCAGACCTGTGGCTCCTATCCCTCATCCCTTAATCGTCCCTTAAAGGACGGGGCGCGTCAAAAGTGCCCCAAGGCTTCGTCTGATCGCCAAAATAATGGTCGCAATCGATTCCTCGGGTCAATATCTAACCTCAGTCGAAGGTTCCAGACCTGTGGCTCCTATCCCTCATCCCTTAATCGTCCCTTAAAGACGGGTCGCGTCAAAAGTGCCCCAAGGCTTAGTCTGATCGCCAAAATAAGGGTCGCAATCGATTCCTCGGGTCAATATCTAACCTCAGTCGAAGGTTCCAGACTTGTGGCTCCTATCCCTCATCCCTTAATCGTCCCTTAAAGGACGGGGCGCGTCAAAAGTGCCCCAAGGCTTCGTCTGATCGCCAAAATAAGGGTCGCAATCGATTCTTCGGGTCAATATCTAACCTCAGTCGAAGGTTCCAGACCTGTGGCTCCTATCCCTCATCCCTTAATCGTCCCTTAAAGGACGGGGCGCGTCAAAAGTGCCCCAAGGCTTCGTCTGATCGCCAAAATAATGGTCGCAATCGATTCCTCGGGTCAATATCTAACCTCAGTCGAAGGTTCCAGACCTGTGGCTCCTATCCCTCATCCCTTAATCGTCCCTTAAAGGACGGGGCGCGTCAAAAGTGCCCCAAGGCTTCGTCTGATCGCCAAAATAATGGTCGCAATCGATTCCTTGGGTCAATATCTAACCTCAGTCTAAGGTTCAAGACCTGTGGCTCCTATCCCTCATCCCTTAATCGTCCCTTAAAGGACGGGGCGCGTCAAAAGTGCCCCAAGGCTTCGTCTGATCGCCAAAATAATGGTCGCAATCGATTCCTCGGGTCAATATCTAACCTCAGTCGAAGGTTCCAGACCTGTGGCTCCTATCCCTCATCCCTTAATCGTCCCTTAAAGGACGGGGCGCGTCAAAAGTGCCCCAAGGCTTCGTCTGATCGCCAAAATAATGGTCGCAATCGATTCCTCGGGTCAATATCTAACCTCAGTCGAAGGTTCCAGACCTGTGGCTCCTATCCCTCATCCCTTAATCGTCCCTTAAAGGACGGGGCGCGTCAAAAGTGCCCCAAGGCTTCGTCTGATCGCCAAAATAATGGTCGCAATCGATTCCTCGGGTCAATATCTAACCTCAGTCGAAGGTTCCAGACCTGTGGCTCCTATCCCTCATCCCTTAATCGTCCCTTAAAGGACGGGGCGCGTCAAAAATGCCCAAAGGCTTCGTCTGATCGCCAAAATAATGGTCGCAATCGATTCCTCGGGTCAATATCTAACCTCAGTCGAAGGTTCCAGACCTGTGGCTCCTATCCCTCATCCCTTAATCGTCCCTTAAAGGACGGGGCGCGTCAAAAGTGCCCCAAGGCTTCGTCTGATCGCCAAAATAAGGGTCGCAATCGATTCCGCGGGTCAATATCTAACCTCAGTCGAAGGTTCCAGACCTGTGGCTCCTATCCCTCATCCCTTAATCGTCCCTTAAAGGACGGGGCGCGTCAAAAGTGCCCCAAGGCTTCGTCTGATCGCCAAAATAATGGTCGCAATCGATTCCTCGGGTCAATATCTAACCTCAGTCGAAGGTTCCAGACCTGTGGCTCCTATTCCTCATCCCTTAATCGTCCCTTAAAGGACGGGGCGCGTCAAAAGTGCCCCAAGGCTTCGTCTGATCGCCAAAATAAGGGTCGCAATCGATTCCTCGGGTCAATATCTAACCTCAGTCGAAGGTTCCAGACCTGTGGCTCCTATCCCTCATCCCTTAATCGTCCCTTAAAGGACGGGGCGCGTCAAAAGTGCCCCAAGGCTTCGTCTGATCGCCAAAATAATGGTCGCAATAGATTTCTCGGGTCAATATCTAACCTCAGTCGAAGGTTCCAGACCTGTGGCTCCTATCCCTCATCCCTTAATCGTCCCTTAAAGGACGGGGCGCGTCAAAAGTGCCCCAAGGCTTAGTCTGATCGCCAAAATAAGGGTCGCAATCGATTCCTCGGGTCAATATCTAACCTCAGTCGAAGGTTCCAGACTTGTGGCTCCTATCCCTCATCCCTTAATCGTCCCTTAAAGGACGGGGCGCGTCAAAAGTGCCCCAAGGCTTCGTCTGATCGCCAAAATAAGGGTCGCAATCGATTCCTCGGGTCAATATCTAACCTCAGTCGAAGGTTCCAGACCTGTGGCTCCTATCCCTCATCCCTTAATCGTCCCTTAAAGGACGGGGCGCGTCAAAAGTGCCCCAAGGCTTCGTCTGATCGCCAAAATAATGGTCGCAATCGATTCCTCGGGTCAATATCTAACCTCAGTCGAAGGTTCCAGACCTGTGGCTCCTATCCCTCATCCCTTAATCGTCCCTTAAAGGACGGGGCGCGTCAAAAGTGCCCCAAGGCTTCGTCTGATCGCCAAAATAATGGTCGCAATCGATTCCTCGGGTCAATATCTAACCTCAGTCGAAGGTTCCAGACCTGTGGCTCCTATCCCTCATCCCTTAATCGTCCCTTAAAGGACGGGGCGCGTCAAAAGTGCCCCAAGGCTTCGTCTGATCGCCAAAATAATATTCGCAATCGATTCCTCGGGTCAATATCTAACCTCAGTCGAAGGTTCCAGACTTGTGGCTCCTATCCCTCATCCCTTAATCGTCCCTTAACCCGCGCCCCGTAGGGGGGGGCCGAAACGGCCCCTCCCTGTCCTTTTCGGTCGATATCTCCTAAACGGCTGGAGATATCGCCACCAAACTTTCAGGACCCTTCCGGGCATCAATTTTACACATTGTGACTAAAATTTTTTCCAGAGGCTATGATAGGTTGGCCACAAATGACGTCAGAGTGACGTCATGTTCTGTCATTTTCGACCGAAAAAAGACCTTCGCGAGAAGACCTGTCAGGACTACAGCTTTGAAGATACAGAAAAATGATCAAGACATAAAAGGTGTAGAATTGACAGGGCTACAAAACTGCTATCTCGAATTTTTGAAATTTTTGAGTTTTGACCCCCAAAAATCAAAAAAGCATTTTTTTGGATATATTCGCCAAAAAATCCACAAAGTTTTTTGAGTTTCGAAAAAACCGGAATATATGTGATAGTGCCTACCGTCTTCTATCTACATACTAAATTTCAGATCGATACCTCGTTTTTTGGCCAAGTTATAGCGAAAAAACTGTTCAAAAATGATGACGTCAAATTTTCAAACTCAATTTTTGGCAATTCTAGAACTCGTAGAGCAAAACGAAGACGACCTTTAGACTCCCCGTGACGAGCTGCATCGAATCGATACCCATTTTATGCAAAAATATCAACTTTGAAATTTGACCTAATTTGACCTGACCTTGACCTGACCTTCACAAAAACGTGACCTAGGCTGGCCCCAAAGGCTGCCTAACCCACATAATCGCATTTGTCATGTAAAATGGACCATAAAACATGTATCACACGACACATTCATATTGTGACCCCCGGTGACCTGACCTCGCTGTGACCTGACCTGGTATCAGTGACCTCAGATAGCAAAGTATGTGTTTGACGAACAATGTACCATCGATGGTTTTCAATAAATTACCAATTTACTCGCTTTCACAGCACATTTCTTGAATTGCCTGTGAACGGTGAAAATCTGACCTTTGACCTGACCTGTGACGTCATCGGTTTGACCTAGGTCAATGAAATTTGGTCACAAGGTAGTTCCCGGGTGGGGCTATCGAACGCCGTTTGAATTTTGAAAATCGGCCGGTAACTTTCCGAGATCTTAGGGGGGGCCGAAACGGCCCCCCCCCCCCTACGGGTGGTAGGGTCCGCCGGTAGCCCTACGGGGCGCGGGTTAAAGGACGGGGCGCGTCAAAAGTGCCCCAAGGCTTCGTCTGATCGCCAATATAATGGTCGCAATCGATTCCTCGGGTCAATATCTAACCTCAGTCGAAGGTTCCAGACCTGTGGCTCCTATCCCTCAAAAGTGCCTTGGGGCACTTTTGACGCGCCCCGTCCTTTAAGGGACGATTAAGGGACGAGGGATAGGAGCCACA